CTTAAGGTGCGGATACTCTGGGTATTGCTGCTTTAACTTGTGTTACAAAGGAGCTGCAAATTAAATGAATGTACGTATTCACATCAATATAACATCACTTCATATAATTTAAATTCACATAATATTTACCTTTCAAATGAACGTGTCACTTCATGCTCACAGTTGAGCAGAATATAAGTGTGGAGACTATGCTTATCCTTGTCACTTGACCACCATATTTCTCGCAATCTACCACCAAATCGTCCAATTTGGCAGAAAATGTCAGGAACATTGCTTATCGGATTTGTGGGGACGACTCCACCATCATCATATCTTCTAGGAATTTTTTTCTGGTACGTACTGTTAGTGCAAAGTAGTATAATGAGAAGTGAGCTGTTTCTGCTGTCGAACTCCCAGCAATTATTGAACATTCTACTTTTGCAAGATTTTTTGCTTTCCCCTTCAAATATTTCATGGAGCGCTCATTCGGATACATCCATCTGTAGTGAACAGAACCACGAAGAAATGTCTCATATGCGAGGTGAAGAACAAGATGTTCCATGACGTCAAAAATGCTGGAGGAAATATTTTCTCTAAGTTGCACAATATGATCGGAATGTTCTCATGAAGTTGTTCGATAACTTATTCCTTGAATGTACGTGTGCTTAGATCTCTGGAGAATACTCCAATGGCTGCATATTGCAAAATTAATCCAGTTAATAACATTTCATAATATATGTATATATATATATATATATAATATTAACTAATCAACAATATTTATCTGCAAGTGCTTCATGTACATTTGTTGAAAGCATCTCAGCAAAAATGAAGGGAAGTAGTCATTGCATAAACACATGACAATCATATGACTCTTCATTCCTGAGAACTTTTGACATTGTTCAACACATCTTGAGAGATTTGAAACATATACATCAGGAAACTTAACTTCTGATGCAACCCATTTAAACAAAGTCGTCTTCCCTCTGATGATAATCGAAAGATAGGAACTGGAATGTTTCCATTGCTTTTAATATGTAACTCACTTCTTGAGTGAATATCAAATAAGTCTATCCTTGACTTTTTGCTATCTTTTGTCATCCCTCAGACGTTCAGTATTGTATTCATGATGTTGTCAAAGAAGTTCTTCTCTATATGCATAACATCGAGGTTGTGACGTAAAAGAAGATCCTTCCAATAAGGCAGCTCTTCTTATGCCAATTGTGACTGACCCCATACCCATCTGGCATATTTTCAGGAACATGCCACTTTTCTCCACGCGGAATAGTTTCTGGAGCTCCGTAGTAATCAATTTGCGCTAAGATATGTTCTCCATTGAGATATGGAGGAGGACTATCCCTGACAACTTTTTAGTACCAAAACATTGTCATATTTCTTCGATGTGGATGGGTAAGAGGAAGAAATCAACGATGATAATCAAACCAACAACTCTTCCTACCATTCTTCAATTGAAAAGCATTTGTTGATCCAAGACAATGCGGATAAGATGACCTTCAATGTGTGGTACATCCAGACAACATCCCATAAGAATGAAAGTCCCTTATCGTCCAAAATAGAACTGCTCGCATTGTAAAAAAAAAATTCATGGAACAATTATACGTCCTCGCCCCTTCTGACCGCAAGTCATTCAGCTCTTGTATCAATGGTTAAAGAAAAATATCCAACGACCACTTTGGATGCTTTGGACCAGGGATTAATATGCTCAAGAATATAAATTCTTGTTCCATGCACATCTCCAGAGGCATGTTGTACGACGTAAGAATGACCGGCCACAAAGAATATTGTCTCCCAGACATTCCAAATAGACTAAATTAATTTGTCTGTGCATAACCCAAGATAGATATTTCGAATATTTCTTGTGAAATTTGGGTGTACCTTGTTGAAATGTTTCCAAGCTCTTGCATCTGATGGATGAGCAATCTCGTCATCCCTCTGAACATGTTCAGCATGCCATCTCATCGCTCCGACGGTCCTCTTAGATTAATATAATCTTTTCAACATGTCTATAATTGGTAAGTACCACATCCTTTGGTACGGTGCCCTTTTCCTCCCACGTCCTTGCAGTTTGAATCGTGGCTTCTTGCAGAATTGACACTTTTCTAGCTTCTCATCTTCTCTCTAGTAGATCATGCAGTTGTCAATGAAAACATCTATAATCTCTGAAGGCAACCCAAGACTATAAACCAATTTATGAATCTTATAATAAGATTCACCTGACACGTTGTCTTCTGGAACATAATATTTAAACAACTCGGCCCATGCATCTATGAAATTCTAAGGTAAATTATGATTTTTTTAATATTCATCATCCTAGCTACTAGAGACAATTTAGAGTGACCTTCTCTACACCAGTGTAGATTGGTTGATTTGCAACATCTAGCATTTCATAAAACCTTTTTGCGTCCAAATTAGGCTCTTCAACATTTCCAGTTTCATCAGCTATTGTTGTAGTAGTTTCTAAAAATGCATCAGTAATTATGTCGTGAACCCTATCATGATCTACCACCATCTGTTCAGCAGCCTGATTATATTCGTTATGCAAGTGATTTGGTTCCTCATTATTATCAGCATTCTGAAAACTACTATTACTACTACTAGTTTCATTTCCTCCATACCCCTCTCCATGTTGAAACCAAATATAGTAATGTGGTGTAAAACCTCTGTGTACTAAATGTTTCCATACAGTTTCAGTACAGGAAATTTTTTAATTATTGCATTTTCGACAAAGACATAACATCTTACCAATTTTCTGTGTGAGCGGTGTACAACCTGTCTAGTACATAAATGTCTCTAGCTCTGCAAGAAATGCATTCGTCACTCTACCATCGAAATTTTTATGCGCATATATCCAACTACGCAATTTGAAAATATTTCTTCAATCAGACATATTTTTAGTTGTTTTCGTTTTTTTGTTCGTTCGTGTGTTGGTATGAAATGAAAATGCTCGTATATATAGAAAAATTTCGAGCTTGGTAAGTTAGAGTTTTACTAAGTATTTACACGAAAAACTTTACTATGATTTTATATGTCCCTAACATATTTGTTACAATGTTACAACGTATTTACAACAAAATAAGTTAGATGAACCACACATTAAAAACGTTTTCACCTAACAACTTTCATCGTAATGCACTTGTAAATTTACGACGACACTACAATGAATTAATAAGTATTTAAAGAAATTATTGTATTTCTTTCAAAAAAACTAAAGAGAGTACACGGTCATCGGAACGGTTTTATCAACTACACATACCTATTCATCAACTTCTCGAGAAAAAAAATATGCGGAGTTGATAAGAACTGTTCTGGTGTCCGTGCACGCCTTTCAATTTCTTGAAAATTTGATACATAAGTCATCGTCATGTTTTGTTTTTATTATTTTTCTTTGTATTTGTTTTTATGTTGTTAGAATTAAAGAATGACCTATATATATAGGAAATTTTGAGCTTAATTGATAAAGGTGTAACAACAAATTTACAAGAATAAGTTTTACTAGGATTTTACAAATCCATCATATCTTCTTTACAACGTTAATATAACGAAATCAGTTAGGTTGAATACACGTTTTTAATGTAACAGTTAAAAGGTTAGTCGTAAACGCCGTGTAATTTTATTTAGGATTCACGACGAGTCATCTAATTCCAATTACTTTTGTCATAAACTAACATATAATTACGACGAACCACTTTCCTTATAATTTAACTAAGATTTTACGACAGATATGTAATTCTTTGTAAAACACTTATAACACACTTGTAATATTACAGAAAATATTTTCTTCATAATTCTTCCTTGTTATAGGTATGTTTATTTTGGTAGTTGACCACGCTTGTGTGGTTCAACTTAGAGCATCTCCAATGTATTACTCCATTTTCTACTCTAAAATGGAGTAACTCCAAAATGCAGTTGAGTTTTACTCCAATGTATTACTCCATTTTCTACTCCAAAAGAATATTTTTAATATTATATTATTTCAAAATTAGGAATATCACCTTTCATTTATACTATTTGCAAAACAGTCCATTTTAAATTTATAGCATTTCTATTAAATACAATATTAACCACAATTAAATTTTTATTATATAAATAAAACTACTCAACAAGTTTTTAAAAGAATAAATTTAATACATTAAAAATTACATTATATAGCTTAAACACAATAATACATCAATTCTAAATTATTCATTAGAATTATAATAATTTTCCCACAAATGATCAACTAATGCATTTCGAAGTAAAAAATGAGCTTCTTTATCTTTGATTTCTCTGAAATGGGAAAGAAACTTTTGGAACCTCACATTATTATTTTCTTCAATTT